GTACCCCGTTCGGGGCGCCGGACTCCATAGTGGGTATTTTAAAGTCAGTACTTCGTTAATTAGCCCAAGTGGATAAATTACCACAAATGTTGTTCAGGTACCATCCTGAACGGGATGTCTAGAATTTCTCTGGCCGCTTTGGGCTCCCCCGCTTTCTCTGGGTCTTTCTATGTTCTGGGCCGGGTATGTTGGGCTTCGGCCAATACCTCAAGACAAATCCCCCACTTCCTATGTCTCAAATGGTAGTGAGTGCATAAGGAAGTAGAAGAAATTTGCCTGAACACCGCTCGGGTATTTTTCGTCCCTCCTTCTCATTTCTCTTTTCTTGCCCAGTTAGCATGGCGCCTCGCCCACGCTCTTCCGTTCCTTCCACTTCCGAAGCGGTTCCTCAAAGCGAGGTGATGTACTCCTAATTTACCATATTTATGATCTTGTTTTGTCACACTTTTAATACTTTATTTCTCATTTTTAAATAAAAAGGATTGATCTTTATCATCTTGGACACACTGAAGGTATTGCACTTGTTTTGGTATATTTTTTATTTTCAGGATAATTCGGAACGGATATTAATTTCTGAAAAGAAATAAATATTACTCCCGAGTGAAGACGGAAAAATCATCAAAGTGAAGCGAGTCCTTACTTTATCTCCGAAATATTTATACAGAGATCCGAAGTTCATTTCAGAATAAGTCAGACTGTCCGCAATAAAATGTACCGGTTAATTGCTAACCAGTTAACTGATCAAACAATTAACCGGCCAAATAATGCAAGTGGCGGATAGTCGGATACAAGCCAAAACTTTGGCTGACAGGTACTATTCACTCATTATGAGTGAAACTCCATCCACGTAAAAGCTGCCAAGAAGAAGAAAAATAATGAAGTGTAAATGCATTTCATTGATTGGAGGGACCTACCAAGCAAGTTAAGAAATTAAAATCAAAATCAACTTCTTCGTCTCCAGTCGGCCATCACCGAGAACAGCAGCAACAGATAGCAATGAAGAAAAAAATACAGCCGAACAGGAGTGACACTATTCACTCAAAGAAAATGAGAACCGGGCAATCGCATCTGATGAAGACTGAAGTAATATTACAGCAAAATAATTATTTATCAGGATCTTCATTTCAAGTTTTTTATGCTTTAGCCCCTTCTTCTGCTGCTATATAAAGGGTCATTTGGGAGCTGCGAAAATACACCAATTCAGAGAGGAATCATCCTCTTCTTTCTTTAGCTTTTTTCATAGTAGTAGCAATAAAATAAAAGTGATTCTGCCAAGAACACTTTCTGTATAGATTTCAGTTTGTAATTCTCAGTTCCAAAATATTAGCTTGTGATATTTGGTATTAAAGTTCATTTGCAATTATCAGTTCGTTCGATCAGTTCCAGATTAATACAAGGACTTCAGCTTTTCTGTTCCAGTTCATCTATGTTCTTCATTATTTATGCCTTCAGGTTCTTATTTAAACACTCACTTTAATTTCTTTAATCTGTTAAGTTAAATATGTCTAGCATGAATTTTTACTTTTATATTGTTCACTATAATTATGTGTAACTAAATTAGTTTAGGTTTGGGCAAGATGTAATTTTTACTATTAATGTTCATAAGATAATAATTGGTTAAAACTATTAACTGGTTAATTTTAGGAGTGTTGGGTTGAATACTATAATCTGCTAAATAAATTAATATTGGAAATGAATATTATCACGGGAGTGAAATTTCATTAAAATCCATTTATTTAATTCACCCACTAAATTACTACATGGAAGTGTTAAGGAATTTAGGATAAATTGATTTTGTACTTTTTACTGTCTTAATAAAATTACCGCGGGAGCGGAATTAAATTAAGATAGTGTAATCAACTAAGTCTTGGGAACGATTAGAAGATTACCATTTGTAAATCTTTCACACACCTAAAAGTAACTAAGTTAATTAGTTAAATCTTTATTAATTATGAACATCATAATAAATTTACTCTTAGCCCAAACCTAATTTTCTCTATATCATTAATTGTTAAATTACCAAGTATTGTGATTTATTTTACTCATTTAGCAATTCTGTAATCATAAATACAAAACAAACAAAGATTTGTTCACTTAGCTCCATTGCAAAATGTTATCAATTTGTGATTAGCTAAAAATCAATCATTAATTCTAGTTCTCTTTTTGAGTCATTCTCTAGCGGAACGATACTCACTTATTCTATACTATATCGTTACAAGCCAATTAAAACAACATTTCCATTCACATTTTTACACCATTTCACACTACACATTTTGGCATGTCACGATTTTGGCGCCGTGGCCGGGGAATGGCATAGTTTTACTGATTGATTATTAGTTAATATTAGTGTTTGTTTTTATTTATTTGGAGACTAAGTGTTTTTATTTCCTGTTATCATCACTTGTTTTTAGTTTCCCATTGTAAAAAACAAAAAACAAAAAAAAAAAAAGTAGTGTATGCATACTCGCTCTCAAGGGAGTGAAGGATTGCAACCACTTAACCTTGATTTTGAAAAAGAATTAAGGAAAAGAAGAAAGGCCCAAATCCTTGAACTTAAAATTCCAAATCAGATCATGGAGGACCTTCACAACAATCCCAATAATCCAAATAGCCAAAACCAAATTTCAAATCCAAATCCAAATCCTACGCCACCACAAAATACCCCTATAAATACACCCATTGATACTCCAAGAGATAGACATAATCCTTTCTTTGGAGATCAAAGACCCCCTGGATTTGAAAATTTCCAACAAATTCCTCCTCTAACACAACCCAACCCTTATCCACCACACCCCTACCAAAACTACCAAATTCACCAAAACCAACCTCCACCATATCCATACACATACCCTTATTCTTACCCACCTCCTCCATTTATGCACCCATACCAATCTCACCCATATGGCCAATACTACCAACACCCACATAATCAACAAGGTCAAGGCCAATTCATGAGACAACAACAAGGCAGAAGACTTCTTGATTATGTTGCAGGTGAAATTGAGGAACAAGATAGCATTCTCTATCCAGGCGTGGATGCAGCAAATTTTGAGATCAAACCAGCACTTATCTCATTGGTCTCAACCAACAAATTTGGCGGATCAAAGAATGAAGATCCAACGAGCCATGTGAAGCAATTCTTGAGAGTTCTCCAAACTCTTAAGCTTAATGGAGCCTCTGTTGATGCTATCAGGCTCAGATTGTTCCCATTCTCACTGAGGGATGAGGCATTGAGTTGGTTAAACTCTAAACCATCCGGTTATTTCAACACATGGGAGAAGTTGCATAGAGATTTCATGAAGGAGTTCTATCCTCCTTCTAAGGCATCAAAAATGAAGAAACTGATCCAACAATTCAGACAACAACCATCAGAATCTCTTTATGAATCATGGAAGAGATTTAAAGATCTTCAAGTTCAATATCCACATCATAATATGAGCATGGGTGATCTCATTGTCTCATTTTATGAAGGATTACATGATAATTCCAAAATTGTTGTGGATGCCTCTGCTAATGGAGCTTTCATGGAGCTTGATCCCGAAACTGGAAAAGAGATGCTTGAGAAAATTTGTAACAACAGTTCATCATGGTATTCTGAAAGATCAACTCAAAAGCTAGGAGCAGGGATTTATGAGGTTGACCAAACAACAGCTTTAACAGCAAAGGTTGATTCTCTCACAACCATGGTTCAAAAGCTCACTGAGAAGCAATCATCATCAACTTCTAGCGCAGCAACAAATCCATCATCATCTGTAGCTCAAGCTTTGTTCTGTGAACTCTGTGGGGGAGGGCATTCTTTTAAAGAATGTAATTTTCTTGAACTTACACAAAATGTTCCTTTTAGCCCCACAGTAGAACAAGCTGATGCTATATATGGTAGACCTCAAGTACCATATCAAGGAAACTATAATCCTCAAGGGAAGACACATCCAGGATTTTCATGGAGTAATTCATCAGGTGCAGCAAATCCATCTTTTCCATCCAAACCAACACCTCCTGGATTTCAAAATCAGCAAGGATTCAGAGGGAACCAAAACAACCAACAATTGAGGGGAAATCAAGGGTACCAAAATCCTCAAGGTTATCCACCGCAACAACAATTGCCACCACAACAACAATTCGTTGGAGTTAATGATTTCCAACAGATGATGCAAGGAATTACTAATCAATTCTCTCAACTCACAACTCAACTCAATCAAATTCAAGCTCACAACAAAATGTTAGAGAGCCAAATTGCTAGTTTTGCTTCACCATCAACTAGCAAAGCTCAAGGAAAGTTGCCTGCCTACTCTGAACATCCCAAGGAGAATGTCAATGCAGTCACTACAAGGAGTGGAAAACAACTTTATGATCCACCACTTATAGTGGAGAAAGAAAAGATTCCTGAAAAGGAGGCTTCACCATCAAAGGAAAATTATGAAGAAGATCTTACTTCTTCTGCAAATGAAGGTTTAAAAAAGGTAGTGCAACCATATGCTCCACCTTTACCATTTCCTCATAGAGCAAAGAAGAAAACAATTGATGAGAGGAGGGATAAATTCCTTAAATGGATCGGTGAGTTGAACACAACAATCCCGCTTCTTGATGCTCTGAAACATATGCCTTCATATTCCAAATTTCTGAAGGAAATTCTGTCAAACAAAAAGAAGTTCGAGGAGAAAGCTACAATAGCCATGAGCGAGGGATCCAGTGCTATCATTCAGAAGAAACTTCCAGAAAAATTGAAGGATCCAGGTAGCTTTACTATACCATGCATAATTGGAGGGTTCATGATCAACAAAGCTTTATGTGACCTTGGGGCTAGTGTTAGCCTTATCCCCTATTCTATGAGCAAACGGCTTAGTCTTGGTATTCCCAAGGCTACTTCAATGACCATTCAGCTTGCTGACCGATCTGTTAAGCACCCTGTTGGTGTTCTTGAAGACATTCCTGTACAGGTTGGAAAATATTTCATCCCTTGTGACTTTGTCGTCCTAGACATGGATGAAGATGAGCGAGTACCTGTCATATTGGGAAGACCTTTCTTGGCCACTGCTGGTGCCATCATTGATGTTAAAAAAGGTACGTTAATAATTGAAGTGGGGGATGAAAGGGTTGAATTCAATATTTTCCAAATGGCGAGAAATCCTGCATGTGTGGAAGATTGTTGGAGGGTTGATATAGTTGATGAATGTGTGAGAGACTTCATGGGATTCTTTCACAATGATCCTATGGAAGTTTATGATGTGGAGGAAATTGAAAATAATCATGAGGGAGAAGAGTTAGTTGAGTGTGTAAAAAACAAAGAGAGTTGTAAAAAGAATCATGAGGGGAAGGAAGTGGAGAAACTGGTGAGAGAAGAATTGAGGGAGGCTAACAACACAAAAGAACCACCCACAGTTGAGTTGAAGCCTTTACCATCACACCTAAGATATGCTTATCTTGGTGAAAACTCCACTTACCCAGTGATAATTAGCACTAAGTTGAACGAGGAGGAAGTAGACAAGTTGTTGACCCTGCTGAGAAAACACAAACGGATCATTGGATACTCCATTGATGATCTAATTGGCATCAGTGCTAACTATTGTATGCACAGAATATATCTTGAGGAAGGTTGCAAACCAGTGGTTGAACATCAAAGGAGGCTCAACCCTAACATGAAGGATGTTGTGAAGAAAGAAGTTATCAAACTTCTTGATGCCGGAATCATTTACCCTATCTCGGACAGCAGATGGGTAAGTCCAATCCATGTTGTACCAAAGAAAGGAGGTTTCACAGTTGTTCCAAATGAGCACAATGAGCTCATTCCTACTCGTTTGGTCACGGGATGGAGAATGTGCATCGATTACAGGAAACTGAACAAAGTCACAAATAAGGATCATTATCCTTTACCTTTCATTGATCAGTTGCTTGAAAGGATGGCAAACCATAGCCATTATTGCTTTCTAGATGGATTCTCAGGATATTTTCAAATCATGATCCATCCAGATGATCAAGAAAAGACTACCTTCACGTGTGCCTATGGTACATTTGCTTTTCGAAGAATGTCATTTGGCCTATGTAATGCACCCGGAACTTTCCAACGATGTATGATGGCCATTTTCTCAGATCTTATTGAAGAAATCATGGAGGTATTCATGGATGATTTCTCTGTTTATGGGACCTCATTTGGCTCGTGCTTGGATAATCTTGATAAAGCACTGACTCGTTGCCAAGAGGCAAATCTTGTTCTAAACTGGGAGAAGTGCCATTTCATGGTAACAGAGGGAATCGTTCTTGGTCATAAGATTTCATCTAAAGGCATTGAAGTGGATCCAGCAAAGATCGAGGTGATCGAGAAGTTACCACCGCCAACATCTGTTAAAGGCATCCGAAGTTTTCTAGGGCACGCCGGATTCTATCGGCGATTCATCAAGGATTTTGCTAATATTGCAAAACCACTTACGAGACTCCTGTCCAAAGAGGTTGAGTTTATCTTTGATGATGCTTGTCTTAATTCCTTTTGCAAAATTAAGAAAGCATTATGTTCTGCACCTGTCATTCAACCACCAAATTGGAGCATGCCCTTCATCCTAATGTGCGATGCCAGTGACTATGCTGTAGGAGCCATGTTGGGACAGAAACAAGGTCGGTGCATACATGCAATTTATTATGCAAGCCATACTCTCGATGATGCCCAACAAAACTATGCCACAACAGAAAAAGAACTACTCGCAGTTGTCTTTGCCATAGAGAAGTTCAGGTCATATCTTGTTGGAAGCAAAGTGATAGTTTACACTGATCACTCAGCTCTAAAGTACCTATTTGCGAAGAAGGAGGCCAAGCCACGACTTATTAGATGGGTGTTGCTACTACAGGAGTTTGATATTGAGATCCTTGACAAAAAAGGGTCTGAAAATGTCATTGCTGATCACCTGTCCAGAATTGAGCCACACACAGAAAATGAAACGGCCACAGTATTACCCATTGATGATTCATTCACGGGAGAATATTTGCTCTCTATCAATCACTTTTCTCCTTGGTATGCTGATTGGGTTAATTACCTTGTCAGTGGTTATATTCCTTCTGAATTCTCATGGTCCCAAAAGAAAAAGTTCTTACATGATGCTCACTCTTATTTTTGGGATGAACCACTATTATTCAAGAGATGTGCTGATGGAATTGTTCGAAGATGCATCCCAGAAGATGAATTTGAGGCTATCCTTTATCATTGTCATTCATCACCATATGGTGGTCATTTCGGATCCACAAGGACTTCAGCAAAAGTCCTACAGTCAGGTTTCTATTGGCCTACATTGTTCAAAGATTCTCAAATGTATGTGAAAAGATGTGATCGATGCCAACGCACAGGATCTATTGGCCGTCGAAATGAAATGCCGCAATCCGGAATACTTGAAGTTGAACTCTTCGATGTATGGGGAATGGACTTTATGGGACCATTTCCCAGCTCATGTGGCAATTCTTACATTCTTGTGGCTGTGGACTATGTCTCGAAATGGATTGAAGCGATTGCTAGTCCAACCAATGATTCCAAGGTTGTGATCCGATTTGTAAAGAAATTTATTTTCTCAAGGTTTGGAGTTCCCAGGGCCTTCATCACAGATAATGGTACACACTTTTGCAATAAACAACTTGAGAAACTTTTGCTCAAGTATGGTGTTAATCACAAAGTGTCTACTCCGTACCATGCACAAACTAGTGGCCAAGTTGAACTCTCAAATAGGGAAATTAAATCAGTCCTTGAGAAAGTTGTCAATCCCACAAGGAAAGATTGGTCCCTCCGATTAGATGATGCTTTATGGGCCTATCGTACTGCATATAAGACTCCCATTGGGACATCGCCGTTCAAATTGGTGTATGGGAAGTCTTGTCACTTACCAGTGGAGATTGAACACAAAGCATTTTGGGCTATCCAAAGCCTAAACCTTGACTACACTCTGGCAGGGAAAAAGAGGCTATTACAATTGAATGAACTTGAAGAATTCAGACTTGATGCCTTTGAGAATGCCCGACTTTACAAGGAAAGAGCAAAGAAATGGCATGACGGAAGAATCCTTAGGAGAGACTTTTCTCCTGGGGATAGTGTGCTACTATTCAACTCAAGGCTAAAACTCTTTCCAGGAAAGCTGAAATCAAAATGGTCTGGACCTTTCAAAGTTATCAAAGCCTTTCCATCTGGGGCAATCATTCTGGAGGCCAATGATGGGAGGCAATTCACTGTCAATGGCCAAAGAGTTAAGCAATACCATGAAGGAGATGACACAAAGGAGAAACTCACTGTTCATCTGGATGATCCTCCTTACGAGTAAACCACCCAGGTAATGTCGGGCACACGACGTTAAAAATAGCGCTTCTTGGGAGGCAACCCAAGTTTAATACTTGCATTTGAATGTGTGTTTTGCTTGTGTGTTTGCATTGAATAATTTTATTTTCCCACCCATTTACTCACCCGACCTGTATATATTTGTCACTTCGAGGACGATGTTTCATCCTAAGTGTGGGGGGAGAATATGCATGTTTGTTTGTTTGTGAATTGCCTTATCATCTGTATAACTTTCAAATCATGCATTCTATTCTTTCACATGGCATGTGGAAGGTTGGCGGGACTTGTCTCTTAATAATTGGATTGATAATCATAATTTTTGAGCGTTGAGTAAAATTTTGGTCAAAATTTTAAACTTTTTACAAACACAAAACATCTCATGCACGTAAATGGTTATCTAGTGAATTGTTGTTCAATATGTTTAAAATTGTGCAAAACAAGAGTGCTATGTGCTTTTATTTTCCTTGACATGATTTTCTGACTTAGCACATTAGGAAATGATATAGGCCATTTTTCATAAACCCATATACCTAGCCTTACCCATGTGATTAATATCCCTTGTTCACCCCCTTTGAGCCATTTTTTTTAATAAGCGTTATACGCTTAACCCTGCTTTTCTTATTTTCTTTCGTAAAAACCTGTTATATGTGACCCTTAGCCTAAAAGCCAAACACTTTCCAACCGCCCTAAAATGACTTGCATAAATTTTAATGAGTTTAGAGAGTGTCATTCACATTTAGGGAGCTTTAATAATTACATTTTTGTGATTACATAGTTGTTAATATTCATTTATGGGGGTAGTTGTTCTTGTTGTATTATCATTGTACATATTGTTCTTTTAAATTATTATGGTTAGAAGCACTAAAAAGCCTTGAAAAAAAAACAAAAAAATCAAAAACAAAAAAAAAAAAGAAAAAAAAAAGTAAAAAAAAAAACAGAAAAGAAAGGAAAATGAAAAAAAAAGAATAATAAAAAAATCTAAACAAGGCTAATTATCCATGTATATGCTTCTCTCTTTTGTGTATATATATATATATATATATATATATATATATATATATATATATATATATTGTACATTAATTTACTCTTTTTACTAGTTACTAGTTTACTACCCCTAACTATTAAAAATAACTAGTGTTGTATAGATTATTGTCAAAAGCTCCTACTCACTACTTAGTACCTCTATAAATTTGTTAAATTTATGTCAAGTTCATTTATTTTGTTTCCTCAATAATTCCCTTTGTTCATAAGCCTATTCCACAAACCCCATTATAACCCTATGTGAAAGTCCTAACTGATCCTAATTGTGTTTTGTCTGAAATAAGTTGATAGGAGAATCTTATTTTGCATAATTTTGCATGGTTGAACAAACGAAGCTAGATTCCATTTTCACACCACACACTTTGTGTTTGTTAGAGTTGAGATTTGACCAAAACGTTTCAAATGATATGCAAAATATTTTTATGATTCTCACTACTCTTATTTTGTGACAAGTCAAGGGAATTTGATTGACCACGTGGAGTGAAAAGAAAGTGTGCATAATTTGAGGGTTGTACATATGATTTGGCAAATTCATTTTTTTTCTTCTTGCTTGCTTGTTTGTTTGTTTGCTTGTGTGAAATGTAAATATTTTTGCTTGAGGACAAGCAAAATCTTAAGTATGGGGGAGTTGATGTACTCCTAATTTACCATATTTATGATCTTGTTTTGTCACACTTTTAATACTTTATTTCTCATTTTTAAATAAAAAGGATTGATCTTTATCATCTTGGACACACTGAAGGTATTGCACTTGTTTTGGTATATTTTTTATTTTCAGGATAATTCGGAACGGATATTAATTTCTGAAAAGAAATAAATATTACTCCCGAGTGAAGACGGAAAAATCATCAAAGTGAAGCGAGTCCTTACTTTATCTCCGAAATATTTATACAGAGATCCGAAGTTCATTTCAGAATAAGTCAGACTGTCCGCAATAAAATGTACCGGTTAATTGCTAACCAGTTAACTGATCAAACAATTAACCGGCCAAATAATGCAAGTGGCGGATAGTCGGATACAAGCCAAAACTTTGGCTGACAGGTACTATTCACTCATTATGAGTGAAACTCCATCCACGTAAAAGCTGCCAAGAAGAAGAAAAATAATGAAGTGTAAATGCATTTCATTGATTGGAGGGACCTACCAAGCAAGTTAAGAAATTAAAATCAAAATCAACTTCTTCGTCTCCAGTCGGCCATCACCGAGAACAGCAGCAACAGATAGCAATGAAGAAAAAAATACAGCCGAACAGGAGTGACACTATTCACTCAAAGAAAATGAGAACCGGGCAATCGCATCTGATGAAGACTGAAGTAATATTACAGCAAAATAATTATTTATCAGGATCTTCATTTCAAGTTTTTTATGCTTTAGCCCCTTCTTCTGCTGCTATATAAAGGGTCATTTGGGAGCTGCGAAAATACACCAATTCAGAGAGGAATCATCCTCTTCTTTCTTTAGCTTTTTTCATAGTAGTAGCAATAAAATAAAAGTGATTCTGCCAAGAACACTTTCTGTATAGATTTCAGTTTGTAATTCTCAGTTCCAAAATATTAGCTTGTGATATTTGGTATTAAAGTTCATTTGCAATTATCAGTTCGTTCGATCAGTTCCAGATTAATACAAGGACTTCAGCTTTTCTGTTCCAGTTCATCTATGTTCTTCATTATTTATGCCTTCAGGTTCTTATTTAAACACTCACTTTAATTTCTTTAATCTGTTAAGTTAAATATGTCTAGCATGAATTTTTACTTTTATATTGTTCACTATAATTATGTGTAACTAAATTAGTTTAGGTTTGGGCAAGATGTAATTTTTACTATTAATGTTCATAAGATAATAATTGGTTAAAACTATTAACTGGTTAATTTTAGGAGTGTTGGGTTGAATACTATAATCTGCTAAATAAATTAATATTGGAAATGAATATTATCACGGGAGTGAAATTTCATTAAAATCCATTTATTTAATTCACCCACTAAATTACTACATGGAAGTGTTAAGGAATTTAGGATAAATTGATTTTGTACTTTTTACTGTCTTAATAAAATTACCGCGGGAGCGGAATTAAATTAAGATAGTGTAATCAACTAAGTCTTGGGAACGATTAGAAGATTACCATTTGTAAATCTTTCACACACCTAAAAGTAACTAAGTTAATTAGTTAAATCTTTATTAATTATGAACATCATAATAAATTTACTCTTAGCCCAAACCTAATTTTCTCTATATCATTAATTGTTAAATTACCAAGTATTGTGATTTATTTTACTCATTTAGCAATTCTGTAATCATAAATACAAAACAAACAAAGATTTGTTCACTTAGCTCCATTGCAAAATGTTATCAATTTGTGATTAGCTAAAAATCAATCATTAATTCTAGTTCTCTTTTTGAGTCATTCTCTAGCGGAACGATACTCACTTATTCTATACTATATCGTTACAAGCCAATTAAAACAACATTTCCATTCACATTTTTACACCATTTCACACTACACATTTTGGCATGTCACGAGGCTCCAAATGTTGCGGCGGAAGATGTCAATGTAAATGCGGAGGTTTCCGATGATGACGTCGGTGATGATGCATCTTCTTCTAGTACCTACTCGGACGGTACGAAGTCCGGTGATGAGATTGATTCCATGGAGGCTGGTCCTCCAAACGATATTCCATGCCACAAGCTTGATTTAACCCTAATCAGGCTTAGGCGGGAGAAACTCACATGCCCGAATAGGGCCCAAATTTCAAACCTGATCCCGGACCCAGTTGATTTTCGTCTCCAATCTGGGCTTCACCCAATGTGCCACCTCCTGGGGATGGTAGTGGTCCATTTGGACTCGGTAAGAGACGGGCTTAGGTTCCCGCTCCACCCCTTTTTGTGTCTTTGTTAAACTTCTATGAGGTGGTCCCGACCCAAATTATGCCGAACTCCTACCGGGCCATGGCCAATTTTATCTGCCGTTGTGTGGACATTGAGGCGACGCCCACCTTGGACCTATTCCATTACTTTTACACAGTTATCCCCCAGCAGGCCGAGGGGTACCTAGTCACGAGTGCTCGAACGAGTCATATCTTGTTCTCCCATTATCCTTCCTCGATCAAGGGGTGGAAGGATTGATTCTTCTTCATTTTTGTCCCGGACGGCCTGATCCCAAAGAAGTGGAACGTCTTCCCCAAAAAATCCCCTGAACCCTTTATCTCTGGGGAGTTGGCCGAAGATGTTGTTGCCATTGAAAACGGGAAAGTCTACAATATCATGGATTATCTGACTCCCTATCAGCTAATCAAGGTCGGGATAGGTACTGCCCGAACTCCTGGACTTACTTGATTGAAACTCAAGTGCCATGGCCCGGGCGGTCCTTCCTGTGCGGGAAACACTTTATCTTGTTTCACCCATGTTGAAGTCGCTCGGTACTAACTTTCTCCCTCGTCTTTTTTCAGTTCCCAATCCCTAAGCAGATCCTGATCAAGTCATGGACAACAGTAGGCTCTTCGATGTTGGTGGGGGCGCCGAACCTAAGAAGAAAAGAAAGAGGACGAAGAAGGTCGATCAGGCCAGTTCTTCTCAGGCTGCTCCCCAGGGCATGGAACAATCCCAGCCCGTTCGGGATATTCAACCCATCCAAGAGGTGCCCCGAGCAGCCTTCTGTTGCTGATATGCTGATGGACAATCTGTTTGGTCCCGAACAGCATCACCAATTCCCTGGACACTTCGATTCTGTCCAGGGTCCGCATGT